CGGCCCCCCTGCGCCCCGCTCCCCTCGGCGCCGGGCCCCTCGCTAGCCTGCGACTTTGCACCTTTTTTTTTTTTTCTCTCCCCCCTCTCCATCGTTATCCTCATTATTTTTCGTTTCTGTCTTTCAACGCTACTTTGCGTGGAAGAAGGAGAAGGGAAAAAGTTGGGAGCGGATGGCTGTAGTTTCTTCTCTGGGATCCTCATTCATTCCTCGCTGAACCTCCTGTTGCATAAATGATGCTCCGGGAGCGAGGCTTTCTCTTTTTTTTCCTCCTTCGGATCTGGGTTTAGAGTGGATGTTACCGGGTTTCGATCGCCTCTTTGGAGATACAATATCGCTTTTCTTTTTTTTTGTTGTTGTTGTTGTTTTTTCTGCCCCTCCCTTTTTCCCTCCCTTCTTCTCAGCTCCCCACCCCCGCCCCCACCCCCCAAAACCCGCTTGTGCTTCCTGCAAGGCTCGGGACTGGGTTTCTGATTGCGGTTATTTCCATGTTTCTAGGTTTGTGTGATTTTGCTAAAATGCATCACCAACAGCGAATGGCTGCCTTAGGGACGGACAAAGAACTGAGTGATTTACTGGATTTCAGTGCGGTAAGAAACAACGGTGGAAATTAACAACAGCTGTAAAAAAAATATCTTCTAGCTGATCTGTTAAACTAAAAAAAAAAAACCAACAAAAGCAAAACAAAACAAAACTGTGATCTAAGTACATTGGGTAATTTTTAATCAGCAGCTAGAACCACGGTAAATATCTTTTTCGCTTAAAAAAAAAAGAAAATCAAAAATTAGAGTCTTTTTATTATTTCTTATTGTATGTGATGGGAGATGCAGTCTTGTTCGCAGCTTATTTTAATGTCTTGGATGTCTAAAATAATTTTTACGAAAACAGACGCCCCTAAACCGAACATTTCTCATCATTAGTTAATAACAATATTATCTAGCACTTTTACTGTGCTTTACATTTTATGGTGGTGTTGGCACACGAGCTAATTAAGTGCTAATTAGTGACTTATATTCTGTTTTCAGTTCTTCCCTTGTTTCGTTGTGCGTGTGTATGTGTGGGGTGTTTTTTTTTTTTTTTT